TACAAAAATGTGATGGTGTCTGCAGGTGGTCGCCGACCCCTGGTTGGTGCTCGCCACCCTCCCTTCCCCACCCTGCTGCCAACAGGCCTGCGGCATCTGCGGGAGCTCCCCCACTTACCGCCAGCACTGTGCCCCTCCCCCCCTGTTGTTCATGCATGCTTCCATCCCCTTGGTGCCATAATGCAGTAGCCAACTCTAGTTAATAGAGCATTAAATATTCCATACAGCTGTTTACACTGCCAAACAATTCTATGCATGCTTTCTATGGAACAGAGGCCTAGAAATAGTGCTTTAAGGCAGGGTGGGCACAATATGGCCCGCATCTGACCCACAAGGCCATCCTATCTAGCCCACAGGGCCCCTAAAAAAATTTTAGAAAATAAATATTTATCTGTCCTTGTTTCCTGTCAAAAATGACAGGAGGAGCAGGACCCAGGGGAAGCCCCGGCAGGCTCCTGCAACAGCAGGGCCCACCCAGCCCCAGCCCCACAGCTGGAAGCCCCAGCAGGGGCTGGGACCATGTGGCTGCACCAGTGCCAGAAACTTGGGTAAGGAGTGAGGGGGGAAAAAGGGGGAGGACCCCAGGCAGGGAAGAAGCCTGGGAAAAAGCAGCCCCTCCCCCGTCCCATGGCCAGCACTCCCTGCTGCAACTGCTCGCAGCTGTCCCAAGCAGGTACAGGCAGCCCCAGGCAGGCTGCAAGTGGCTGCAGCACTGCGCGTCAGCCACAGGGCAGGTGAGGGGCAACTTTTCTCCCCCGTGCTCAGCATCAGCTTGTAACCCACCCCTACTGCCAGCCTGGGCCCTGTGCCAGTTCTGGGCTTGCCCATAGGGGCTACACGCGGCAGCAGTAGCTGCTTGGCATGGAGGAAAGCAGCCTCACCACACTGGGCAGCATTTGCCACCGCTGCCCCTGTGCTGCCCAGAGTGCAAGCTCCGGTTGGGCAGCAGCAGCAAACACTGCCTGGTGCAGCAAGCAGAGGGGCCACTTTCCTCCACACCAAGCAGCTGCTGCTGCCACAGAACAGCCCCGACGGGCAAGTCCGGAGCTGGCACAGGGCCCCAGCTGGCAGCGGGGGTGGGTTACAAGTTGGTTGTGAGCGCGGGGGGGGGGGGGGAACGGCCCCTCACCCGCCCCACGGCCAGCACCCCACGCTGCAGCCACTCGCAGCCTGCCTGGGTCTGCCTGTGCCTGCTCAAGACAGCCCCATGCAGGCTGTGAGTGGCTGTAGCAGCACCAGCCATGGGGTGGGGGAGGGGCCACTTTTCCTCACGTTCAGCACCAGTTCATTCCCCGCTGCATGCTGCCCCCCCCCACCTATACTGCAGGGCTGGGAGGGGCATTGGGAGTGATCGGGTGCAGGAGCCAGCGGGAAATGGGACCCGCTTCAGTGTCCCGGGGCCAGCACCAGCAGGGCCCAGAGCAGGGCAGCAGGAGTACAGAGTCCCGGCCAGCAGGAGCTCTATGGAGCCGAGCTAGCTCGCCCCTCTTCCTGCTGGTGCAGCCCAGCCCAGCTCCACAGATCCCTGCCAGCCTTGTGCCCCACTCTGGGCCCCACCAGTGCTGGCCCTGAGACATTGGTCCCAAAATGGTGACCAGGGAGTAGGGCACCTGTCAAGGGGCAGGGCTACCCATGCAGCCCTCGACAGCTCACCATAACTTGGTAAGCAGCTTTCTGCCCAAAATAATTGCTCACCACTGTTTTAAGGAGTTCCTGAGCTATCTTGGATAAGGACCAGTCTGGTTAGAAAAGGTTCAGCTGTGATAAGTTCCAAATGGTGTTTTGCAAAATGGGTTACTACTCGCAGTCTTGTTTCAGGTTGTGGTGTATCATATTATACCTGCCATGTATCATTCTATATTTTCACCACTCAATTAGTGCTGTCATCTTGCACAGAAGCAGGGTCAGCAACCCAAAGCCCACAGGCCAGATTTGGCCCAGAACCGCTGGACCTCACCTGGAGCCAGAGGGCTTCAGCAGCATTTGCCTGGGAAGGCAAGTGGAGGTGGGTAGGTGGGGCCCTTGCCCACACCATGCTGTGGCTAGCTGGCAGAGTTCCCCTTGCCATGCTATGGCCAGATGGTTGGGAGAAGAAGTGGCAGTAGTGACCAGGTTCCAGTGCCAAATCACCTTGGATCCAAGTTAGGTCATTCTGGGCAGCCATCAAAAAGCATTGGCACCTGCTGAGCTAAAGAATTCAGGTTTGTTCACACATCCAGCAACATACAAACAAGTTCCCCAACAAAAGCATCTGGCTCCCTGACTGCTGGTTAGACATTAGGAGGATGCTTTTTAACTGGTGTACATGCAATAACATAGGAACCTTTTTGTGAATCAAGTATGGAGGGGAAGGGGAGGCTGAAACAGATAAAGGCCTCTGCTCTGGGTAGGATAAAGAACAGAACAATATGGCTGTTACATTGCACCCGATTCCTTAGTTTGGTCTTCAGCTTGGTTGCTTGCAGCAATCACATTGATGGAACAGTCCTAAGAGGTCTGGTGTCCCATCTAAAACCAGACTTCAAGGCCATTATCAACTGAACCAATCATCATTATGATAATTGTGCTTTGTAAGCACAAAGAGATGGCAAAGTGGGATACTAGCTGGGCTCTTGGGAACTTGTGGAAATTGCAAGCAATTGCCATCCCCAATCCATTCAGTCTCTGCACTCTATAAAGTTAGGTACTTATTACTTTGCTTGGCTTTGACTTAAACAACTAAGATAAATAAATGCTGTTCAGTTCAGTCCTCCTTCCTAGGCCTGGCCACTCCCTTCTTCCTTTCAACCATTTCCAGATGTTGAAGGGGGGCATGCACCACCTTTTCTTTGTATACAAGTGAGTTGCCCACCTCAAACTGCTCTAGTCACTATATCCCTTCCCAGCTAGACAGAAAGGGATAAACCAGCAGCATACTTGAGAGGTTGCACTCTGAAGAAAAGTGTCATGTTAATGGTTTCACTTAACATTCCAGAATAAAACTAGCAAAACTGTCAAAGCTCTTAACTTCAGTTTCCATGACAATACTGATTCTCCATTGATTAAAGGAGATCATGGCCCTCACAAAAGCCTCAGAGCTTTCCTAGGGAGTTTCTGGCTTGACTCAGACAAGCGCATTTTTGCATCTGATCTGCAGATATCGTGATCTTCAGATATAGTAAAATGAGTATCAATTAAGAGCTGGCACTTTCCAAGGGGTGCCTTGAGTTTAAAAGGTTAAGAACCAGTGCTTTCAAACCATCTCTCTGGTTTATACTTAGGGTTTAGCTCAGCCCTGGCTCTCTCAAATTTCATAGCATCTGATGAAGTGAACTTGGGCCCTGCCTCCTGACTCACTTTCAGATTGCCTTTTCCTTCAGTCAAGCTTTATTCTTTTAGATCAGTGATTCTCAACTAGGTACTGTGGCACCCTGGGACAATTTGAGATCCTTGAAAGGGCACTGTACAATGCCACACAATGTTTGCTCTGTTAAGTGAGCTAACATGATTTACAAGCTAAACCCAAAGATTACAGAATCTAAAGGTGAAAAATGTTTTTAACACTAGTTGTGGTCTTTCAGAGCCCTTTGCAACAGAACTCCTCTAGTATTTTTCTGTAGTAAAATGAGCATCAATTAAGAGCTGGCGCTTTCCAAGGGGTGCCTTGAGTTTTAAAGAGCCAATACTTTCAAACCATCTCTCTGGTTTATACTTAGGGTTTAATAGACACTGAAGAGTTCTGGAATGCAGGTACTGCACTTTTCAAGCACTGGCTCAATGCAAAATAATGAAACTTCATCCTCTCTCCAGTCTGGTCTTCAAGAAAGGAAGCTACTGTACCCAAACTTTGATTCATATTACTGTATTTACCTGAATCCAAGATTACTTTGAATTTAAGATGATCCCCCCAATAATTTGATTCTATACATGGAAAATTATAATTAGTGGAATATCGTCTTAAATTCATCCCTCTTAAAATTGTGGTAAGGAAGTCAGTGACAGATGGAAAGAGGCCATACCCCTGGCCCCTTACCTTCCCTGCCTTCCTCCCTGCCACTTGGCCCCCACCTGTGGTCTTCCTGCCACCTGCCCCTCCTCCCACCACATGCCCCTACTCATGCTTCTCTCTCCATGACCCTGCCTGGCAACTGATGCCTACCCCCCTCAACCCTTGCTCCTCCATACCTGTGCCTGGCCTTATACCCATGCTCTCTCTCCCCTGTCACCTGTCCCCCACCATCTGCACCCTCTCCCCACAATTTATCTTCTGCTGCTCTGCTGTGCTCCAGCTCCAAGGCAAAGAGTGGTGGCAACCCTTCCCAGCCCACCCATGCAGAAGCAGCAGTGACAGCTCTGGGTCTGGCTGGGTAGGGGCTGGAGCTGGAGGAAAGGGGGGAAAGGCTGTGTGGTCTTCCTGACAAGCTACACAGGTAGGTTTCCTCCACAACCCCTTAGTAGCAAGCCCCCCCCACTTCCCTCCCACCCCCAACTGCATGAATCACTTGGCCCAGGGAAGCTGGCAGCTTAACACCGGCTTCAGCTTCAAGCCCCCATCATGTTGTTTGTATGTGAGTAAATATGCTATATCCTACAGTTTAAGAATGCACATAACCACCTAGGTTGCAAACCTAAGCATTCTGCAGTTGTTTTGTGGAAAGCCTAATTTGTCTGACTGCAGTTAGAACTGAATGAAAAACTCGTTCCCAGACCTCCCAATTCTTATCTACTTTGACCAACAAAAATAAAAAATAACCCAATAATGAAGGCACCGAACAATAAATATTATTAAAATTCTCTGCACGTAGATCACAGGAAGCCAAATGACAGATAAAAAAATTACAACTGTAGAATTGTAGTCATCTGAAATACCAAAAATTAGGGTGAAGACATTATTTCTGCATTACTCTCATATCCCACCACACGGACATGCCCCACTGCAAGCCCTAACATTAACATTCAGAAAAGCTTTACACTATAAAGGACTCATGCTAAAAAAAAAAAAAAAAGTTAAGCTCACTTACGCAGGTTACTTTCCGGTAAATCTGAGCAGCATTCTGACATTCTGAATAGGGATATTCTGAGGTAGCCATTTCCAACATGCACATTCCAAAAGCATATACGTCAACTGATTCATCATAGTGTTCTTCATACATTTCTGGGGCCATAAATTCTGGAGTACCTAGAAAAAAAAAATGAAAGAATTCACAGCAGGCAAAAACATTACACACTCTCCTAATCTATAAAAATGTGCTTAATACAGCTATGTCCGAGTACATACAAAACATCAAAACTGACCAATATATATTCATGCCTTCTCTATCCCCACTCTGTCAAATAGAAAAGAAAAGAAGAAAACTAAGACATCTATCTCTTGCTTCATCTGCAATAATGGGGAGGTGGCAGGCACACGTATAAGATTTCCAGAAGTACACAGGAAAACCTTAAAATAAAAAACAGTCAATATTTGTGGGGGAGGGCAAGCCTGCAAAGTAGTTTATCTTCTTCTCTCCCCCAACTTATTTAGTTTGAATGGAAGGGGATGTCTGCCTTTGACAATGTCAGCAGTAACAAGGCCATAATTATTCAGGAGATTCTATTTTGGCAAGATGGGTGGTAGGCAGTAAAAGTCTCTCTCAAAGCCAGGCCTGACAAATACTAGCATTAACCACCATATGAGTGATAGAAATCAAAGGTCATCTTCACTAGGATTAAGGATGTCAGAAATCAGACAATGTGATAAATAAGCTCCATTCTTACTGCCTAACAATTAGGAGGGGAAAAAAAAGCAGCTTTATGACAAATAGCTACTTACAATACCTTCAAAGTTTCCCTTACCTATGCAGAATCGCAGACACGCAAGCAACAGTGACATCAATGCTACAGAACACCACCCACACATTTAGTCACAACACTTGTTTAGCTCTTGTCACAGAACCTCTGAATAGCAATTACTTTGAACAGTGTGGTCTACAGAGCTGAACTGTTGGCACTGTTGCTTGCATCAAACAATTTATGCAAAGTACATTATGTCATGTAATGGTTTATGCTTGGGAAATCAGTTTATACTATCATTGTCTTATCAAGTAATGGCAGAAAGTGTCAGAGAAGATTGTGCTCTCAGTTGGTCTGTCCTTTTCTTTCCGAGATTAAAGCAAATTAGTTAGAGAGGGTATCTTGAAGGATGGAAGGAGGAATACTTTCCACCATTTAGAATATTAGTTCAAAGGTTAAGAAATGAACCTTCATCTTCTCTGGCTAAATTACACTTAGAGCAAACAAAAACTTTAATTTTGAAAAGGACTCCTAATGGTGGACTAGTCTTAAATAGGCAGTTTCTAGGTTAACATCCAAGCTCACCTACCTCCTCAGTTTTGTCTTTGTTGGCAGCTCTGGCCAGATCTATACTAGAAACTTTTCCCAGTATAGCAATGTTAATGAGGTATGCAGTTTTTTCTGTTACGACACTTCTAGGCCAGTAAAAGCCATGATGAAGTTATATCAGCATAGAATTACTTCTGCTTTCTAGCTTACTTTGACTGGAAAATGCAAGGGAGACATACATCTCACTCTTACCAGAGTAAACATTGCAAGCAAAAACATTTTAGCTAGGGACAGAAGTTACACAAACCATTTTAAGTGATCAGAAACTGATTCAAGCCTGTAACAGAACAGAAGTTCAGTGCACATAAACCAGTTTCAAAATAGCTGAAACTGGTTTAAGATGAATCTGGTTGAATGTACCATTAGACTCAACTGATTTTGGTCAAACCACCTGGTGAAATTTCTGACCCAGACCCCTTCCTGGTTCAAGTTAAATCATAGTCCCCCAGCATCCTTTCCAGCCCTGGGCTGGGCCAGGCTGTGCTCCAGGGTTAGTCCAATCCTTCTGCTCCTTAGCCCAGGCAGTGCTGACAAGGGGGCGGGGGTGGGAGACCTGGTTGGGGACTGCAGCCAGTCCTGCCTGGGGAAGAAGGGGCAGCCCCTGCCAGACTTTTCCCTACTGCAGTGAAAGGGCAGGGACTGTTGGCAGGCAAGATCAGGCAGAGGGGAGGGAGGCAGGGTTTAAACCCCCTCTCTCACCCGGATGGGAGCCCGGTCTGCTTGGCAGGAAGTTGGCAGAAGACCAGCAGACTCTACCTCCTCCCATCTCTGACAAAGACTGAAGCAAACAGTTGATAAGGGGAGGGTAATTCTCCTCAGCTTCCCCCAGGCTATGGGGAAAGGGAAAGAGGCTGGGAAACAAGGGCAGGAGGGACCAGTCCTCTGCCACCTGTGAGCATAGCGTTACCTTTCAGCTCCATGTTCTTGGGGACCCCTGACACAGGACACAGCCTGACTCACAAAGAATCCCCTCCCCGCACCTAAACAAAATGGATTAAGATGCAGTGGGAGACCCACCTAAACCCCTCCAGATAAGGGTGACAAGAGTAAAACAACTGCACTGTCTCATTTGCATCCGAGATGGAACTAGATGACAACTCATATACATGGGAGATGGAGAACAGAATGCTGGAAGCAGAGACCGCAGTGAATTCTAGGATCAGAGAAGCAGGGGAGCGCTGCATGATGGGGAATCTGTGCTCCAAATGCTAATCTACACACATTTACACACACCCAGCTCAGCATGTATCAGACCAGTTTTAAACTGGATTTACAAAGGACTTTTCCTCCCCCCCAACACACACCTCTAAGCAGAAGTAAAGTTTAATAGGCATCTCGGGCCATACATTCCCCAGTCCCACTATAGGAGGCCTAATTAAGGTTAATAGGCTAAAACTCTGTTGCCGGGTTAGGGAATGCTGAGGCAAAGAGATTGAGTCAGAGAGGGTATGGGCAACATTTGAACAATGGTAAAGGGTTCATCACAGCATCCAGCCCATTGGAGCCCTGACCACAAGTGCTGTCATACTTTTCCCGGGATGACTGGTGGAAGTCCTACCCCCACAAGGGTTATGAACACTCCAATAATTGCCTTAAGTCTCTTAAGATCTGGAAAAGTCATGCTAACCTGAGGCTTGTTCACAAGTAAAAATCCAAAACCCTGATGCTGCAAGCTATCTGTTGTTTCTGAAGAAACCATGAGATATCCCATAAGTATATCTGCTATCCATAGGAATTTCCAGCTGGCTCCTAAAGTGTCTGGTTACTCCCTAACCTTATGTTTTCCTGATTATCAATCAGTTTTTTTGAGATGTTCCAAACCAGATAACCTCTTGTCAAGAGAAAAGACAATGATTTACACTATTGAGAATGCTTGGAAGAGGCTGAACTGAGGGTAAAAAAAAATCTAAAAAAAAAAAGCAGCAAAGTGTGTGTGTGCTTCAAGAGAAGTCTCTCTCACACCACCCGCTGTTCTTCTTGGGACACTGGAAGAAACAGTCTCCCTTCAAGAATCGTGCTGAGAACTTTAACTGGTCAGCTTTGCAACCCGAGTGCCTTGGACTGGTGAGATCCCAGCACACTCTCTCTCTCTTTTCTTTTTTCTCTCTAGGCATAGATTTCTGAACCTGAACAGTATTATCATAGAATCACAGAAGTAGGGTCAGAAGGAACCTTGTAGATCTTCAAGTCCGACCCCCGGCCTGGGCGGGAGAAGAAAGGAAAAAAAGCTTGAGCTAAGCTTCCCCAAATACTTAGTGAAACCAGGGTAATACTGTAACTGTTTTTCCTTTGCATGTCTATTACTACTAGTGCCATTATATATTTCATATACTTAGCAATAAATAACTTTTATAGTCAAACTGGTAGTAACTGGATATATTTCTCCTTCTCTACTTCACTTTCCCCACTTGCTCTGCAGCAATGCTTCTTTTACCTAAGCTAAAGATCTCTGTGAAGCCCCAAAATACTGTGGGATCTGCTCATCAAGAGGCTAAAGATTGGGATGTGCCGAGTTTAAAACAAGTAAGAGGATCAAGCTTGTACGGGCTGATTGACCCAGTTTGGTTCAGACGTGCCCTAATGAACTGAATACTGGCCCATGAGGGTGTCATCTGGACTCCCAGCAGGATTCAGAGGTATTCTGTTCACCTGTGTGCTTGTGTCTGACTGCAGTTTATTGTTGCTCTGATGAACTGATTCTTGGCATATGAGGGTGTCAGCCCGTCCAGGCTGATCAACCCAGCCAGGTCAGGTGTGTCATGTTAATCTGTGTGTGTATGACTGATTTGGTGACTGAAGGAACCCAGCCCCATCGAAACTGAGTCCTGCAAGATAGCTCCATTGGGGGTGAGGACTTGCAGAAGGGAGATATACAGCTCTGTATAGAAACACAAGTAACACAAGCAGCACACTGACAGAATTACCAGGACCCTAGAAACGTATCCCTAACAAATGATCACACCCCAAAGTGATGGGCAAATCTGGTAACAATAGGGCCAACCCTGCAGGCCCACACAGAGGTGGGAGGCAGTGGCAAAGATCTGGCACAATGAATACATTTATGTGCTAGAGACAGACCTAAGGGAACAGGAGAGGTTCCCAGACTGCTTGGCCTGTTTTGACCAAGGAAAGTAGAGAACTACATTTACATTATAAAGTAGAACCTGTAAAAAGTGGGAGACTGGAATACCTATGCAGAGACAAAAGACACTGAATACATGAGAGTCCTGCCAAAGGTGCTATAGGTGACGAGCATACTAATAAAGGCACCCAAGGGGGAAAGGGGTGCAAGTATGCCTGTAAAAACTCAAGCTGAGATGTGGCTTGTGGGATCTCCACTCCAACACCTAAGACCACCTACTGATTCCCCAAGGACTTTCTGAATGCCTAGCTGTAGGGAAACACTCTGCTCTCAGGATTACATAAGACTTATACAAGGTTGCTCTAGTCTTTTTGCTTTATTACCTTCCATTTTAAGTTACAGCACGGTAAAACACAGTGAGAGCACACAGCTTAGTATATCTTAGCTCAGGTGAGGATTTCTGGTGGCTGTTTGTTGTGTGCTTGAGGTTGCAAATCCCTGTGTTCAATAAACGCTCACTTCAGAGAAAAGACTATTGTTTAAGCTTTTATGAATTCAATGCCACTACCTCCTTCCAGCATGGCAGGGGCTGTCCTCTCCACCTCAAATGGGGAGGTAGAAGTGGAGAGAGGGCAGAAGCCTAGCAGGTACTGCACTCCCCCCCTGCAGACCCAGGCTGAGGTCCCATGTGGGCCAGGGAAGGGATTTAAACCCCCACCCTCCCACCTGCTAGCCTTGGGCTGGGGCCTGGCCACTAGCATTACCATATGTCCGGATTTTCCCCAGACATGTCCTCTTTTTGAGCCCTCCGATCCGTCTGGGTGGGGGGGGGTTTTTTGTTTTTTAAATCTGAAATGTCCAGGATTTTGCTTTGCTCTGCTGGTGGGAGCAGGGGGAGGGCAATCAGAGGCAGCAGGGAGCAGACTTATCTACCTGCAGCTGCAGAGGTACATGCAGAGACCCACTTGGTGCTCCATGCTGCTTCTGATTGCCCTCCCCTTGCTTCCACCAGCGCAGCAAAGCAAAATCCTGGACATTTGGTCAGGGCACAGGGGGCGAAGGCTGGGGCTGTGACAAGGCAGGAGAGGTTGGGGGGTTGCCTGCCCCTCCAGCATGGGAAAAGGGTGGGGAGGGTCCTCTGAAGGCAATGGGGAATTCTGTGGCTGGGCCAGTGCCTGTGCTCACAGGGGCTGAGCAACCAGGAGATGGTGCCCAGGGTTGGGGGGGGCAGGACACGTGGCCAAGCTGCCTGGTGTGGCAACCCCAAAGCAGGGTAGGGGGTACCACAAGTCTCCACTCCTCTTCCCTCCAGCCTGCACTGGGGCCAGACACACTCTACCGCCACTTGCAAGAATTGGATCCACCACGCTCTGGCCCGGTCAAGACAGGGACAGCTAGGGCTGCTCTGACAGTACTGGGGTGGGACAGGGGGCTGTGGATCTGGAGTGAGGGGCACTGGCAGGACCAAGGGTCTGCAGGTCAGGAGTGAGGGGGCACTATCGTGGCCCAGGGTACTGAGGTTTGGAAGCGAGAGAATGCAGCAGGGCTGGGTGGGGAGGGGGCTGTGGCTTGGCAGTGAGGGGCAACAGCATGTCACTGCCCCCTCCCCCCACCATCATATTTCCCCCACATAACAGGTTTCTTCTTTTCTGGAACTGGAAATATGGTAACCCAACCCCACCCAACCCACCCCACTCGAGCAGGCAGGGGGAAAAAGCCTTAGAGCTTCAATCCAATTCTTTTGGCAGGGGGAGGCATGCTCTAGTGCCTCCAGGCTTCTGGCCTGACCCACTACAGGCATGTGGCTGCATTTCCTGAATCAACAGTGAACGTCTGTCCACTTGCTTCTTGGTTTAATCTGCACAGTTTAGGCTAACCTGCAAAGACTGAATAGATTCAACCTCTGTTTTTTTTTAACTGTCTATACATAGCTTTTTAGACTACCATATACTGCATAAGAGGGCTTGTTAGTGAAGCTGTATACAGATTTGTCCTGAACACCCCCTCTGATACTGGCTGTTCTCGCGCTCTTTTCCAAGGCTATCCTTTGTTGCTCACCCTGCCTCAGAAACACTACAAAACCTATTATATCCAATTTGGACCCACTTGCCAGCTGGATTTAGCAGACACTGTCCTGAATCTTAATGCAGAATTTAACAACTGAGCTTAGGATCTTTATCTTCCAGCTGTTCTAGACTCTGGCACTGCTAATAAGAAACAGTTAATGTCTGCTATCAGATGCAGACCCTGCTCAATACACCTGCTACACTGTTTTAGTCACAGCCAAAAAGAGCCTGGTAAACTGCACAGCATTTAAAATCAACTTTGTAACAACTCTGAGAGGCAGCAGTTTAAAAAAGCAGGCCAAATCATGGCAACATTCCAAAATGCCAAGTAAAAGGCAAAAATCTCATTTAATCCATTTATGAATTCATTTTTACCAAATTAGACCTGCAAAGATCTTATGCAGTACAGTACACTTAATACTTGTTAAAAACCAGAATAAGTACAGCTCAGTTTCCACTAAGAAGTCACAGATCTCTCCAATGGTACTTGATCAGTACTTTATAAAAAAAATACGATCTCCTGAACAGTAGAAATTTTAAAAGAGCAGAGGAGTTTAAAAAGGGTTCTCTCAATTTTCACTAAGTCATGTCCAATTTAGGATTTCTCCAAAAGTAAAAGTTCCTTGTTATTGCTACCACCCTTAGACCAGACACATCACCAACAGCTTCCACCTCCAACATAAGCATCACTCAGTAGCACAAATTAAAAAATGAATAAAGAAGATTTGACTATACTACTGATATCACTTGCAGTAGCTGAAATGCAAAATTTCAACATATCAAAATAATAATTCAAAGCTGAATTGAATCTCAAAATACCATAAAAATCAAGGCCATATAAACAGCAGTGTCTGTATCTATCAACAAATTTCTTTGAAATCTATTCATCTGAGATTTACTCAAACTGAGGATTGGATTCCAAAATTTCAGCTACACTTTAACCCAGCATGCATGCTAGTGTGGCATGTGCGCTTTGGAGTGGATGGTGAGAAAGGGGCTGGAGCTGTGCTGCCACAACAAAGGATCAGGCATCTTGCATCTCCCCTGCTGTCTGTCCAGAGGTATGTGAGCGCCCAGAGGTATGTGCGCACCCGCCACTGTCAATGACCCAGGCCAGGGCTCCACAGACCTCAGTGCAGCTGCTTGCAGCCTCCTCACCACCTGGGCTCAATGGCAGGCAGGAGAGGCCTGCCCAGACCCCAAGCCAGCTGTGGCAGGCAGCTGGGAAACTGAAAGCCACTGCACTGAGGTCTGTGGAGCCCCAGCTCATCTCATTACTGGCAGGAGTGCACATGTGCCTTGGGGGATGTTTTGCCTCAAAAAGGATTGGGCCCTTCACAACTCCCCAGTCAACCACCCATGGCACGCCAACATCTTACAAGTCAAGGTTGGAGTGTTTTTGGCACTCTACCCAAAAACACTGCTGACCCCTGACCTAGATCTCAGTCTAAACACCTGTATGTCGAATTTCTTATCCAATTCTAATGCAATAAAAGCCTTAGAGAGTGTCTAACTGTCTAACACTTCATTTGCACTCTGATTTGGCTGCCAAGACAACCATCACAATGCTGACAAACAACCAGAGTGCTCTACACAGACAGACAGACAGACACAGTGGAGCACTGCCATGATGGCAGGGACCGAAGGGCCAGAGCAGGGGGGCAAGGCCAGACAGCAGGAATGGAGAGGTAAATGGCAGGGGTGGGGGGAAGCCAGCACCTTGCTCCCTCCTCCCTGCTCCTTGGAGGCAGCAGTGGCACAGTGCTGGCCTTGCGCCCCAGCTCTCACCTCGCTGCTGCACCCAAGGGGTGGACACACCCCCTCAGCAGACAGGCAGGAGCAGGAGATGCAGGTGGGGGGGGGACCCACTGGGAGCAGCACTGCAGCGGCGGTGCTCCGTCCCCATACCCTCCCTCCCCCTGTCAATCATGATGGGCAATTTGCTAGTACCTCAATAAAAATAAAGGATGCAAAAGATTTTAAAAGTTTTTAGCTTGAACATGAGCATTTCCCGAACAAACTTCCCCCTTACAACTCATTTTTAATTCCTTACTACCTCCCCAAGCTTCCACCAGATATTTTTAAAGTCGTGCATCTTTCCAAAGACAAATTCATACGCAAGATTAGAAGAAAAAAGTGTAAGCAGTATGAGAACAGAAAAGGGGCTTCACATAGTTTCAAAAAAAAAAAAAAAACCCATCACAACACTAAAAAGTTAAAATCTGGCAGGGAAATGCTACTCTTGGTTAATGACTCAGGAAATCATGTAAGCAAAGATGAAATTCTGCTGAAATGAAACTGGAATTACTTTAATGCTATTCTGATTGGGAATACTTCCCTGACCTGGGATCTCCCTGAGGAGTCAGACCTTCTAGTCTTCTGGCAAAAACTGGTCTGATTTCAATTATTAGATTTCAAAAAAAGTGCAAGTCCATGCATGTAGAACAGATTGGATATAATTTGGAGATGCTTAAGTATTCTGAAATGAAAACAGTTGTGGTGCAAGCAGGAGTACCCCTAACTTAAATGTACAGCAAATGCATGTTTCTAAAAATAAAAATGTAGAGAATGCGACTGACTTCTGGGGGATAAGAAATGAAAAAGGTCACAATTTTGGTGCCGTCAAAAATTATCCCTACTCAGATTACATGAGAAAATAGGAAAAAAAAAGTATTTGATATTTAATAGGCAGGCTGTTAAGTTTAAGAGGAGAGAAGAAATGAAAGGGAAGAGAAGAGGAGAGAAGGTCATGAACATTTTAAGTAGTGTTATACCACATTGTTCAAATTATAAGTTGAATCTACATAGTTGACTTTGCAATCATAAATTGACCCCACATGTTCAGGTTCACAATTTTAGGACAAAGTATGCTCCCCTCCACCCCGAAATACAAGTCAATAAGTACAAATAAAAAGTATTTGAACTGTTACTGTTCTTGCAGAGTCCCATGGATTTTAGGTGAACCAAATAACCACTGTAAAGACCCAAAAGGGTTAAATCCATTAGAAATAATTACCTATTACACTTTTGGCAAATGAAGCTCTCTTCAGGGTTGCCAGACCTAAATCTCCAATTTTCACAGATCCAGTTGGTCCAGTAATAAAAATATTGTCACATTTTAAGTCTCTGTGAATGATGGGTGGAGTTCGTGTGTGCAAGAAAAGTAGACCTTTGAGAATTTGCCGGCACCAGCTACGAAGAACTTTTGGTTTCATCACTTTAAACCTCTTCAGATACCTGCAGCACAAGCACCCAAAGCAGGGAACAAAGAAAAGAAGAGCACTGGTAAAAATTGTAATGTTTTTAACTAATCTCATTATGAGTAAGGCTCAACCTGGCTACCAGAGACAGCACCATGCAGGGGGGTGGGGAGAGACTTTGCTGAAGGAGGAATTACATTTGGGGGGGGGAAGGGGTGTGGATAATATGCTTTTTGGAGCAACTCCCACCATCAGTACAGAAGTTTATGAAAGTGTAACACTGAAGCAATTCAGTGTTAGTACAGAGGTCTCTGTTACGCTATGGATGCTTTATGTATTACTACAAAATAGAAGTCTTAAATTTGGATCAAGGCTTTCACCTCTCACCTGCATTTTTGTCATTAATCTAACACAATAATTGTTAGGGTGGATGTGGAGCTGATGTTTAGGAAAGTTCAAAACCTGCAACTGCATTTGCTGAGTAGCACACTGGAGGTATGGAATGATCTCTAGTACTCCTACTGGGGATGAAGAAGATCTGTTCCAGTATTTGTGCTAACTGTGTTATACCAACCTGAACAAGAGTGTCAGCACCACAGGCTATTAATGTTTAGGAGATTACATGAAGCTGCTCTAGCTTCAAAATCTGATTTCCCAGCTTTCAAAGCTATGTCATTGCAGTTTTCCAATGAACAACAACCCAGCCTAAAAAGCTTAGTTTGTCACATGCCAAAGATAAAAGGAGAACACCGATAATCGTTACATAACTGAGGGAAGGAGGGAAGAGGAGTGAAGTTATGCTTTGCAATTAATGAAACACCAGGACAGATGACAGAAGGCAGAGGAAAGTTCCATTTCATCTTGAGATGCCTTTTTCAGAGTCGGAAATTAGGATTTTTCTAAAAATTTCTGCAGCTATTTTTAGGCTTCTTATCAGAAACTCACTACTTACGTTTTCAGTGTGCCAGAGGTCATCAATTCAGTAACCAGCACAATACATCTCTTTCCTTTTACACAGGATTCCCAGAAGTCATAAAATCTAACAATGTTTGGATGCTGAAGACCTTTCAACATTTCTGCTTCCTCTTTAAATCTCTGTCTCTCTACTTTTGTCAATTTTCTGTCCTATAATCCAAAAGAAACATGATTAGTACTGAATTAGGGAGGAAACATTATTAACAACCTATCATTCTAGTACTATGGTTTTCAGTGTTCCAGATTTTTTTTTATCCTTTTGTGAAACACCCCAACTCTAATTTATGTAAGAGATGAGTAACGTAGATGAACAAAGGCACAAACTTCATAAAATTGTTTGCCTGTGCCTGAACTGAGCAGAAAGATGGGGTTGATTTGCAACAAATACGTGCCTATGCTAGGCCATATAAGAGCCTCTAATTTCCATTTACACCTGAGGTATTACTAAAATATTCCAGTTTACTCTGAACCATGTCTCAGTGCAATGAACATACAATTACTAATTCACTGGTTAGAAGACGAATCTGTTTTTGGTCACGGCCATACAGCTAACAAGAAGGACCAGAATAATAATGCAGGGCCTGATTTTCATACATCCTTACTAGTCACCACTAATTGATTTCATTTATAGTCATGAATGCACAGCACTTCAAGAGATTAGGCCCATAGTCTACATGTAACTGACTAAAGGGAAAGCTCCCTTAGGTAACCAGGTGGGGCTTCACAGCTTTTACTATTTCCAAAAGGTCAAACTAAACTATCCAGCTTCAAGAAAGAATACATGAACTTCTGATCATTCACAATTCTGTCTCATTTTCTAAGTTTTTTCTTAATTTTTTTACCCTGAATGGATCTAAAAAATTAATCTTACCCATGTTTCTTCCTTCTGATACTTAAAAGCAGTGCTAAATATATGTCTTGCCTGCTTTTTAAAATTAGAAATATTAGGATCATCATCTTTTCCCAGTTTTTCTGAAGAACCTTTGAGAATTTCTGAAGGTTTATGGACACCTTCTTGGGTGTATGGGAGTCAGTGGACTTCTGCTTCTTGTTGGATGGCTGCCTGGTGGGAAGAGCAGAAGCCCACCAACTCCCATAACACCCTAGAAGGTGTCCATAAACCTACAAAAATTGCCTTCAAACCTTGTGATAAAAATCACAGAGAAGCAAAAATTGGCATGAGCCTAAATGGCATGAACCTTATACTAGGGGTTCCCCCTTTAAGACAATATGATCACTTATAAGGCTGAGATCACTGGAGTCCACCACCTAGGAAAAAGCTAATTGTTTACTGAGAAAAAAGGCAGGCCCGTTTAACACAGGGGTGGGCAAAATGCAGCCTGCCAGGCCATTCTATCCAGCCCGCGGGGCCCCTCAAAAATATTAAATTTAGAAAATTAATACTCAACTGCCCCTGGCTGTCATGTGGCCCTTGATGGCTTGCCAAACCTCAGTAAGTGGCTCTCCACCTAAAATAATTGCCCGCCCCTAGTCTAACAGGTCTTGCACACAAAACTTAACTAGGAAATCACTAAAAAGCTTAGTTTTAAAAAAAAAAGCCAGATCCATGATGCATTCATTTTTAAAACTTAGGCATTTAACATTTCTGAGCCACCTTTGAGATAAGTGAATGCTATTTTGTGTTTAAATGAATTAAAAAGTGTCATTTTGCTTCTTTTTTTCCCCCCTTACTGAGACTCTAGAGGGGTAATGCCATTGTCATTTTAATATAGTCTAGCCTCCTCCACGCTGCAAAGAATTTAATATGGTAATGAGACTTCATAGGGCTGGAAACGAGTTGGCTTCATGTTGGCAGAGATATTACAAAAGGAAAATCCAAGCTGAAACCCACTATGTTTTTTGGCTGGTCTTCAAGTAAAGAAAATCTATTTCTTAAATGGGGGAGGGAGAGGCTGGGAAGGCTGCATTTTAGTGGTTCCAAAAAACCTGTATATGCGCGTTCCATAGCTGAGCAGTAGTTGTTAGTTTTCTGTACATTTTCTCCAGCAAGCATCAATGTTATCACTCATGCTAAGGTTGCCCAGGGCAACAGCAACACTTTTCTCTATCATAGCATCTGCTTGCCTTGTGGGGGGCAAACTCTTATTACAAGGTAAGGCTTTCAGCAACACACTCACAGCTATTGTACTGCTGACAGGTGGACATCAACAATATTAACAACAGCCAATTATGAGGCACCACTGCGGCTGTTGCAAACTATATACTTTGATAAGAAAGTTAAAAAATAAATGCAGCTTGAGTGAGCAAGCACTGAAGAGTCTAACAACTGCTTTCAACCCTATCAGTTTGTTCTCAACTGGTGAGCTTCCTTTTAATTTAAATCCTGTAAAGTAAATCAGATGCATGCCTATTAAAGAGGAAAGAAAACAATTCCCTATGCGAGATAAAGATCATATTGGGGGCTTAGGGGAGGAGTGGGAAGAGGATAACTACAATGCTTGCAATTTTACAGAATCTTCTTCCCTGAGAAAAAAATTCATAGTGCCCCCAGATTCAAACTTCTGCATTTCTGAGCATCATGAGATATTTTCCACTCCTAGATTCTGACTGAACATACAACAAAACACATGGTCACATTCTGTGAGGCTGCAAATTACATGTGCACACAAGCAAGTCAGGGCTGAAGACTGAAATAGTTTGAGTAGGACAAGAAAATAAGTGACTTCATCTTCCTCCCTCCAAACCTTCTCCACATTCCATGAACACATTTTATGCATTTATGCAGCATTTTGTAAACTTCCCTACTGCTGAAAGTTCAGTGCCATACTTAGGAGAGCTGGGCCATCACCAGCACTTGGGAGGGAAGTACATGGACAAGAAAGAATGTTCCAGTTCTGGGTGGTTACACAACACATACTTAAAAAGCTTCAGACTCGTATTGAGGTGTTTCCAATGTAAAGTCTTTATAAGAGTTTATAACCAAGCTTTTTAAATTCCATCCACTGAACCTGATACATAGGCTGTTGGTCAAAGCTTAAGAGGGCTTAAAAGCTAAGCTGTTTTCTACTGTGGGCAGAAAAGAAAAAAAAAAAAAAACCCCAAAACCCTCCAGCTGTGATTTTAACTACATGACTCACTTAAAGTTTATTTGGAAAAATCTTCACTAAGGTTGCAAATGCTTATTCCCAGATGATAAAAAAAAAACCATGCAAGACCAATCTTTAAACTAAAGGTACTGTTTCAAGCTTCCAAAATATCATCTTCGGGCACTGGAATTTTAAAAGACAAGTCCCTATGTCAGGTAGCTAGGAAACTCTAGGTTGAGATGACACAAATTACGACACTTAGAAATAAGGAATTGTGGAGTTAAAAAAATCGTGTAATCATATACCCAAATCCAGAGAAAACGTCGAAGCGTTGGTGCAAAGCAAGTTGGCCAAGCCAAAGTTATCCAAAGAGTCCGTGGCAGATAATCTATTCCTCATATTTCATACTATAGAACATGCCCTCCCAGACTGTAATCTTTCTGTGAGGGGAACCCATCATCCAGCACACTCCTCAAAGCCATAGGCAGACTGCTAAGCAGATGGGCAAGCCATGGGGTGCCTACAGAGTAATTCTGCAAAGGCAACTACAGAGAACTGCTTCTTTTGGGAACTGACAGATGTACAGGCCTCTGCTTTAACTCATGGCACTTCACATAAAGTGCCATGAGTTAGAGCGCCCCCCCCCCACCTTTCAACAGGTGTTCACCTGTTGGGGGGGGGGGGGGGGAAAAAAAGCCCGGGCGGCGGGGGTCCACCAAACGGGGGGGCGGCCCCCCCCCCCGCCCCCCCCCCCCCCCCCTCTCGGGGCGTTGACCCCTTGGGGGGGGGGGGGGGGGTGAAATAGAGCCTGGCTGCAGGTGATCAGCCAACTGAGGAGCTGCCCCTCTCCCCAGTCCTCCCCCCACCCCACAGCACTAGGGCTAATCAGCAAGAAGGGAGGAGGAATGGGCAAGCCAGCAGCAACAAGGTGCTGGCTGGGGTTTGCCCGGCTTCAGCTGGGCTAGAGGGAGGGGTTGAGGGTGGGGAGAGGGAGGAGGGGGACACAGCAGCAGGACTCCACCCACCCACCCTCCAGCTCAAGCCAGGCAAACACCAGCTGGCAACTAACTGCTGATGGTTTTCCCCTCCCCTTCCCTTCCTGCTGACAGCCCCAATCCCATGCCAAAATTAGTCTAGGGAACACAAGTTCCTTAAGGCGCTTTGAGGCATCAGATGAAGGTGTGCTTTTTGTGTGCGTGTGATTGGACACTTTAAAAGCACTTTACAGCCATGTACACGTGTCACCGCACAACTGTAGAGTATTTTCAGGGGGGCCAATCATGTGAAAAATGTAACTTCCGTCTGTGCCCTTTAAAAGGTACAAGTTTGAACTAGTTACTGTCATATAGAGGCTCGTGTTACATCATGCTGATCAACAAAAACAGACACTAAAAAGCCTTTAACAAGCTACTCAACTCTGCAAGATTTCTGAGTGGCACCCACAAGCTGAGCAGGACTTTTCAAGTATCCCTTTATCTGCATCAAAGGGAGTGTCCCAACCTACCCTTCCTCTAAACATGCAAAATGCCACAAATGGACTGCATGGCTACCCTATGCAGCCAGTCTTCTTGTACAATGTGTACACCAATTCAGTTAATAGGCCCCTGTGTAATCACTAGGGAGGAAACTGGATTTCCCACAGGTTGTTTCCCCTTTCCTCATTTTACTTGAATTCCTTCTCCTTAGCTCTTTAACACCAACCACCATAATACTGGCAGTCCCTCAGACTTATGACAATTGGTTCCTGAAAACTGCATCTTAGAGTCGTAGTTTCATAGTTTCTAGGGTCGGAAGGGACCTGAGCAGATCATCTAGTCCGACCCCCTGCCATGGCAGGAAAGAGCACTGGGGTCAAACGACCCCAGCAAGGTGCTCATCTAACCTCCTCTTAAAAACCCCCAGGGTAGGAGCCTGCACCACCTCTCTTGGAAGTTGGTTCCAGACCCTAGCCGCCCTAACCGTGAAATAGCGCCTCCTGATGTCTAACCTAAACCTACCCTCTGCCAGCTTGTGACCGTTATTCCTGGTCACTCCTGGCGGTGCTCGGGGGAACAGTGACTCCCCCAATGCCTGCTGATCCCCCC